GGCTTTGAAAGTTTTTACCAGAAACTAACCTGCAGTTCCAGAACAAGCTGCTAGGGGGACCAAACGTACGCCACTTATTCCTGACAGGATAAGCTATCTGTCACCAAAAAATCAAGACCATAGCTTGTTCAGGACAAAAGATACAAAAACCGGAAGTTCTGCTGCAGTACCAAGGTCATCCACCAAGAGGCCCATACTTGACCTTGACCTTTGTCTTTCCAAGACTTACCATCATACCAAATATCATCACAATCCATAAAGGCGTTCTGAAGTTATGCTGACTACAAAGTTGCGGAAACACACACAGACACACACACAGACAGACAGACAGACACACACACAGACATACATACAGACAGACACGCCAAAAACAATACCTCCATTCTTCATGGAGGTAATTATGCAATGTTCTTCTTTCTACACAAAAGACAAGTCTGAAAAGCAGACATGTTGAACTTAAATGTTCATGTGGTCCCAATGTACATGTACATTGTAAGGAATCTATGAATATTTCAATTATGCCATTTTTGGGAATATTTTGAACATATGAAAGAATATCTCATAATCATACTGGTAGGTGTGAGACAACCTGAATATTATAATTACCTCCATGAAAAATGGAGGTATTGCTTTTGGCATGTCTGTGCGTCTGTTTGTGTTTGTGTTTCCGGACATTTGCGGCCAGCATATTAGTAAGTTTTGAACCTGTGTATGGACTGTAATGATATTTGGTATGTGGATAGGTGTTGGGTAGCCAAAGGTCAAGGTCGATTTTGGGCCTCCTGGTGGCTGACCATGGTACTGCAGCAGAACTGCCAGTTTTTGTATCTTTTGTCCTGGACATGGTATGGTCTTGATTTTTGAGTAGCGGATAGCTTTTCCTGTCGGTAAAAAGTGATGTGGGTTTGGTCCCCCTAGCAGCTTGTCTTGGAACAGCAGGGGGTTTCTGGTGAAACCTTTTGAACCTGGTGAAGCCTTAAATTTAATGGCAGTGAACCTTAATCCGACACTTTTCAACACTCCTCTATCTGTTAGGATCTAGCACTGATATGCAAAATTTTTTAATTGCTTTACAAACTCAATAAGGTATACAGCATACAAACTTGAAACAGTGAGCTCACGAAGTCAACATATTGTGGAGACGAGGTCATGAAATTTTCAGCCTTTTTTTATACTGGTAGGCATGTTGTGGGAGGAAGCTTCCGGAAGGACAATCGTCAAAACGTTGACAATTTCTCCTTTACACTGTACATCCTCATGCTATACATTCAACGTCACAGTGAATAAAAAAAGGAATTGATAAAATGTCTGTTGCTGACAAACCACTTGCCTGGAAGTGTACTTCAGAGCAAGTTTGTTGTGGTCATGCAGCGCCATTTTCAAAACCGCCATTTTGAGTACTTGTTGTTGAAGACGATACCACTAGTCTGTACGTGGATGTGGCAAATGATCACAACACTAAAAACTAGAAAGGCCGACATTTGCTTTGGAGCAAATACAGCAATGGCTTCACCACATTTTACGACATGGCAGGGAAAGAATGAGAAACACAAGGGAAAACAATGCTTTACATTGATATAACTATAGTATGAAGTAACATACAATTAAGACTACAACAGTTGGATAGCTATTCCCTACATTATTAGTTAGGATTTTTAATTGCATAATGCAAACTGTTGATTTTCAAGAAAAAAGAAGCGTTCATGCCCCGCATTCCAATGCTGGAGCAGGAAAGCTTAAAATACCTACCAAAACACTTGAATACAGACCTACTGTCAGTATGGAATGGCTCTGTGCAGGTATTAATTAAGTTAAGCCTGTTAAATTCCAACAGCCAATCAGCAAGGAGAATAGAGGAAAGCTGCATGCCTATTGGTTGATGCCCTGCATTCCATTGTGATGACTCATGCCCA